GTACATCTTTGAAGATGTGATTCTGTGTTTTCCCCACAGGCATCCTTGCAGCATATTCCCCTTATCCCAGTGTTGGGATCTTTAGTGGACCGATCAAAGCCAGGCTCCCTGCGACTTCCCTCTGCGCTCTAACGCGACTCAACTGAGGAATGCTGCGTAATTCCCTTAGGTGGCAACTTGTGCTCTGATGTTCAGCATTGGCACACTCTGTCAGTCTCACATTATACCTTCCCACACACACGTATAGTATGTTCACATGAGTAAATACTCACTATAAGTAATATATGTGCTGGTGTATGTTGTTTTATCTTGATTTATCACCCTACACCAGGCTACCGTATCTAAGTTGTGTACAGAGTGTTGTCTATCTTAGCTGCAATGCTATCTAAGCCATCAGGGTTGCTAGGCATTGTGTATGTATGCAGACTGTATGAATAGTAGTGGGGTCGTATCTTGTATTTATCAGCAGGGAAAAAAAGCTTGATCATCAGGTACACAGAAGCACATTTGGGCAGCTTTTAGAGCGCTGAACTTTGACCTGTACTGATTGTGCTGAGTGTTAGCGAGTGAGTTGCATAACCAGGAGGCAGTTCATGTTTCTCTGTGAGTCTGATTGTATACTGTGTGTTGGTCTCCATCCTTTTGACGTGTTGTTTGAACTTGTGTCTGCAACTGAACAGATGAAATTTATTTATAACAGGAAAAAAATATTCTATACGATGCGAGCATCACTAAACTTCCATGTGTCACACATCCACTAGAGGGCAGCGCAACAGTTACGGTGGAGGAGGTTGTGATAAGAACGAGTCATATAGATGCCTGTAATTTCTTACCCACTCTTAAAAAATCTCTCTACAAAAAGTTCTGCCATTGTTGAAAGTTCTTCCTTGTGTCCTGTGATTTTCTTGCTTGAACTATTGGCTACACTGCCCCCCACAGTATTTCTGATAGTACTGCTCTGTTTAATCTGTTTCGTCTGGAAGCTTATAGAAGCCTTGCACAAATATAGACAAAATTAACTCTAGTACAGGCCGAAGGCTACGTCCATTTCTGTACACTTATCTAACATTGATTATAATTGTTCCTTGTGCTGTGATATTAAGCAAGTGAATCCAGAGCCTTCAATGCAATCCCTAAACTTTTTTCCTGTACTTTTGTCCGTGTTTGTAAACCCACATTTATTTTTTATTTATCAGTGCATCTTTTGCAGAAGTAAAAGTCAGTTTCAGTGGAATTCCCTCCTGAGGCCAATTGCCTTGGTGCATTTGGTCCAATTCTTTTATTATAGGCTTCATTAGTTTTTTGTTTTCATCCACATGCAAAGATACAAATAGAGAGAACAAAGGCAGCATAAGGAAGGACATGCTTACTGAGCCAAACAAGCACTCAAGGGAGTTTGGAGGGCCCTTCTATAACCTTCTGAGCAAGATTTTAATGACTTTAATTATGCACATAGAAGACGCTAATGTGACATGAAATGTGACATTGATGAATAGGTCAAACTTTCATATAAAAGACTGATGAAAAAAATACTTTAGCGTGCTGTAAATAGCAAGAGAGTTGAGTGTCTTGTGGCTGTCTGTGTAGCAACAGTGTGGATGTCGGTGGTAACAGAAGCATTAGCAAAACAAGCTTGGTCAGCGTGTAATCGTACAACCGATACTGCTCTGTTCCTCATTACACATACTCACATGCACACACACACGTGCACGCCCCACCTATGGCTCTGTGTTCTCTGTTGACAGCTGTGCCTGCTGCTTCTCGAGTGTGCTGTGCAAGTGGGTGGGGACATGACTGTCCAACCCAGTGTGTGACTGAGGGACAACAGGCAGGAGACCAATAGAAAAGCAGAGTGAAAGGGGCAGGGCACTGTCCCATAGGTGGATATGGACACACTCTCACACACACACACACACACACACACACACACACA